AAAAACTGCGCATGCTTACCTCAAGATCAGTGGAACAGAACAGTAAGGAAAAGTAAGATCAATAGTTATTGAAGGTCAAAGACAATAGTTTCAGGAATAACCACGGAAGCAGTGTGGGATCCCCAAAAGAAGACTAGCACGAGGTTTCAGGTGGACAGATTTGGTACGCAACAGCTTTGGGCAGCAACAACAATCGGGAAACTCTTTACATCGGACCAACATATAAGATGGGACTACCCGCAAGATAAATGCTCTGACCAGACCGACATGAGATCACAAAACGGACCATGACAGAACCGCTGGACGACATGTCGACCCTAGGGAGTAGGCTCGACTTGTCCATGGCCCGAGAGCAGAGGAGTCCACCGTGTTGTTGTGCCTCGAAGACCCTCATAGGACAGCCATGACATCATTTGCCGTCGCAGGGCTCCTCTCAGTGGCATCCTTCATGCAGAAGAGGGTCGATGGGGCCTGCACCGGCGTTCTTACCTTCAGTTTCTTCCCCCCTCCACTCCATCGGTGCGGCGACGGCGGCGGCGGCGGCGACTGGGGCCCGGACCAGAACTCCTCCCTCAGGGAGGGAAGGATTATCGGAAATAACCGTACTCCACTGGCTCTCTTCGGCCGGTGTTACCCCCGGATGGTCCACGGTCCCATCATTTAGAGGAGCAGCATGAGGTCACCGATGGAATGCGACTGGTGCATTGGAGAATTTATGGCGTCGAGAGATCGACAGTCTGCGCTTACTGAAGTGCACGTCCCTGCAGATCGGCACTTGCACTGGCTGAGGCCTGGATGAGTCCGTAGGCCGCCTAAGAATCCAACATGAGGTATGATGGTTGACAGCGAGCCAGCCATCATGGTGGGGGGAAGGGAGTTTGTCCCAAGAGCTAGTTGCATGCACAATATGTGAGAGAGAGATGGAGGGAGACTATGGGGACGCGATGTGTCATGGATGAACCTAAAAGTGAAAGGACGCTAGTTGACTAGGAGTATGCAAGAGGAGGGTTAGCGTGGAGGATGGCTACTGATCATCTCCGGTGCCAGTAACTGTGAAAGAGAGGATGAGGATGTCTCATCTTCACAGCTGTAAACTACTCCATTCTCAGCCAGAGAAATTCATCCAGTTGCTGTGGCGGGCCCAAGACCCATTCTCCCTGGAGGGAACCGACAACCGATAAAGATTAAACTAATCACAACCCTGCAGAAGTAGAGCAGTACCGAACAGGGGGCCCAGTTCTTACTGGGGACGCAGTTTGGAACGGGGAGACAGAGAGTCTGGGAAAGTGATGGAGACGATGAATTCATCCTTGCAAATGCAGACCGATGATTGGCTGATGAGAGGAGTTCGGATCAAGCTAGCGCCATGGCTGCATCGGGAATGGAGCGGTGCCTGGGGTGCGCATGACGTCAGGCATAAGGCCGCCACCGAGTCATATCTGCTCGTTGGCTCCATCTTCATATTCACCTCCTACCACACACAATATCCATTTACGAGGTATGATGGAGTCCTCCAGACACTCATTTCTCCATCTATGCAGTCTGGTCCTCTTCCTCTGACCCGGGAGCTTGGTGTATCCTCCGGCATCGCCAACCTTGCTTGGAAACCATCCCCTTCTTTTCAACAAAGCGTAGGCGAATCGATATCTAAATCGCATCGATCCCCAGCAAAACGTCGCATAACTTATTCATATCATAGAGTTAATAATCCGGTATCGGGCCACTGCACCGCGGCAGGCAATGCATGCTGCAGAATCCGGGACGCCTTTCGGATTGGATCCGATCTGTTCGGTGCCCCATGCAGCTCATGCGCTAACGATCGTTGCTAGGACACGCAGTCAGGGACACACACACCCAGCCTCCCCTTTCTGCTGTCCTTCGGTTGATTGTTGATATCCCACAGCGACCCACTTGTAAAATCTTCATCAGCAGAAGGTTCGGTTGGTGGCCCCTAGGTGGATCAAGACGCAACCAAACTGCTCGCGTAAGAAGTTGGCAGCCCTGAAGGGCACTTCCTAGACTAGCGCATTTGATCTCCTCGGGACGCTGCACTGTGGGCAGCTAGTAGCCCGGCTCAAAGGGGCCACGGACAGAAAGTACTACTGTGTCTGTGTGTCCAATCCAGGCAACGATCCCCGGCAAGGAAGTTAGCTGCTGCTGCACTCCGACGCGAAATGCGAAAGCGGAAAGTAAAACACGCTGTATGCGGACTGCACAACCAACGACCATCAGCGATAATCATAATCAAATAAAACTTGGAACGCTTTCTGGGCCTAGATCACAGGTGCGAGCGGTGGATTATCACTCAATGTGACATCCGTTCCCGTGGGCCCATCGCGGAACAATGTTCCTGGAAACAAATGATGAAATCCTTCTCGGTTCTCACGGCGCGGTTGTTATCTCCTTTGTCTCGGATTTGGAAAAATGAATACGCCCATGATATTGGAATGCCACGTCTCCCCACCCCCCACGTCAATGAAAGAAAAAGCGCAGGCGTACCTGGCCCCATGGATTCGGAAACATCAGACGGTGAGATTGAAATCACTGCGACTGGCGAGAAACAATCGTCTCTGACCGCTCCCATGATATCACATTGTCCTCGGACTTCCCTTGACATGCTTTTCGCGCTCTTGAGCGAGCGGGAAATATCCCACGGACTAGACCCGAACAGACAGAATATTGAGAGCCTGAACCTGAACACTCTGCTTAACGGTTGTCTAGGCAAATGCGCCTCCTCGGTTATGGGACGCTTCTTCACGTCATACCGCCAGGGATCGTGGAACCCATGATGTTGTCTGCACCACTGGAAGCGTCCAGTCCTGCTTCCGAGTCAGATTATGACGATACGGCCACCAGAATACCTCGCATTGATCAAGTCCTCGCCTCTAGTGACGCCACGTAGTTCCATCTCGCAGGTCAGACAGCGCTCGATTGAACATGGTGTCCTCCTAAGCACCGTCTCCATGACATGACATTTCTGAGACAGTTGGCCGATCATGCTAGGGGGGAGAAGGCTAGGCCTGCTTCTCCGCTCTGACGATGTCATATGTTCGCGGCCCGTTAGGCCGAATCAGCTCGAATACGTACCTCCATCACACCCTATCGACATTCCCCGGAACGCGCATATCTCGGAAGAGAAAGAGACAATCCACGTTGCCGTAGTGAGACATCCAACGTCATGCTTAACCCAGTTATCAGTCCACAATCCCTAACCCAAATAAGAAATTCACGTTGATACCAAGATGTTTGTTCCGATTGACCAGCTCCATTATCAGGAGTAAAAAGAAATGCTCTAGATCCCTACAACAGCGGGTAGATACAAACAGACGCCACAATCAAAGGACAGAAGAAATATTTTTCATCATGCTCGCACATCATCACACGTAACCTGTAGTCATTAATCAGCTCCAACGGCCCCATTACCAAACGGGGAATAACACATAGCCCACGAAAAACACTCGGAACTCAATTGTAAAAGGAAATCGACACTTACCTTTCCTAGCACCCTGGAAGAAGAACCTCACAACGAACACCTGCAGTGCGGCCATCGAAACCATCATCAAGCCCTCAATCACGCTAAAGTTGAAAATCCGACGCTCCGTACTACGAACGGTGCTGAAGTTGCGGTTTTCTCTCGTGCGGAAGTACTTCTGGTTGCGGGTGATGGTGGAGAGCTGAGCGGACAGCTTGAAGATCGACTCCTCGAGAGCGGAGGCCTGCTCGGGGCTAGCACCCTGGCGGGAGGGCAGTTGTGCGCGTTCCTCGTTCTCGACCTGTAGTCACGCACACACGTGCGTAATCAGTCTCAATCCCTTTTACACTACTTTGTAATATGCCGCAAAGGGTCGCTGGGTTGCCGATGTGGTAATAGGTAACCAAAACAGAAAAAACATACCGCGATCTCGAAATCGACAATCTTCTCGGCAAAGGTCGACATGTCATTGTTGAAGCAGAACCGGTACTCGCCAATGCTCTGGGCTGTGAACACAAAGTCACCCTGTCTTTCCTTGGTACCATCCAGGACCACCTTCTCGCCGGGTCCGACAACGGAGTAATCGATATCGAAGGAACCGCCGGATTGGACCTATTTGAAACCCCCGGTTAATGGACAATCCCACATTGAGGGATACAGAAGGGATAGTAGTACTCACAGCAAAGTAGAAAGCAAGCTTCACGTTCCTCTGGTCAACATAGTTATAGAAACACGCTTTCTCGTTGGCCTCGAGGCGGTAGGTCAGGGCCGTGGCTGCCACAGACGAAACAAAGGTGGCCAGGAGGCCGATAACCAGGGCTGCGAAGCGCATTGCGAGCAGGGGGGCGGAACAAGAGGAGCTGCGACCTCAAGTTTAGGACTACGCTTCAGGGGGGAAAGGTGAATGGATTCAAAGACAACGCAACTAGACTAATTGATGGAGTTGGAAGTTCTGGCCAGCTGTGACTTTGGCCCGCTCCGTTTGTTGTGTTTGCACTAACAGGCTGTCTTCCCGTTCATCCTCGACCCAATTGGGATGGACCCGCCTCCTGTTGTATTTATCAGCCAATGGCTTATTCTATTGTCAAGTTTACTCCTTTGGCATTTGAAAGAAGTAAATGCAAAACACATCAAGAGACGGCGTCTGTCAGACTGGCTACATAGCTCTCACCGCGGCCCCTGTTTTGACTGACCATTTTGCACTTATACGGTTCATTCATAAAGCTCGCATCCTTCCAAGCTAGCTCATACATCAATTCCAGCTGCTAAAAGCATATCATAACGGAACCATTAGGCCTGCCCTTCTAAGCTACCAGACAGACCAATACCACAACACATTGAAATAATCGCATCTGTTCATCATGTATAAAGTATGTTGTTTTTTGAAGTTCTTTCTTCATAAGCTGATTCGCCTGGGCAACACATGTCCTCCGTATGTTCATAATGGTATGCGTTCCCTGCCAATCGTAAGATAGACTCCCAGCAAAAAAAGACGTGCATAGCCATAACCATCAAGCAAAACTCCCATCTATCGGATGAAGAACGATTCGCTCCGGTTCCAAAAATTGCGGTTCTTATTTACATGCTCGAGACCAAGCAGGTCGTCCGAATCACCGATGATGTCGGAGAGGATATCATCTGAACAGCGTCAGCCAAACACTGTGTTCGTCTCAGAAAAGTAGGGTCGGGTCACTCACCATCTTCCACATAGCGCGGGTTGGAATACATGTTGCGAGATACCACAGCAAACTTGATCTTTTCGAATTGCTTGCCCTTGATGCCAGTCCGCTTAGACAGTCGCTCCTTTGTCTGCTTGAAGATCTCGCCCTAGTAAACGTTAGAATGCTGTTACCCGAAGTTAGGCGGAATTACAACGTACCGGCTTCATAACAAACTTGAAAGGCACGCCATGCGGCCGGTTGACCTCGCGGTCAAAGTTAAAGGCATTTATCGTCCGTTCGCCGTCCTGCATGTTGGCCTCTTCTTCGGGAACCCTCTCGGCATACAGCGACACGAATTCGTTTATTCCAGCGATCTTCGAGTCGGCCTGGAATTCCCGGTAGATCTTGCCGCCATGGGTCTCGTAGACGCGGGTCTCGCGGATCGTCTCGTCGTCCAGGTTTGCCTTCTTCTGCAGGCCGGCAACAAGGTCTGCGATGGTACCGTCGCGAGGAACCAACACCTCCACCAGTTGCTAAACACTATTTAGCTCCAATCCTTTGCAAAAGCGTGGTTATCAATCGGGACTTACCTCCTTGGTGATGCCTTCAGGAAGCCATGTAACCTTCAAGCAGGTCTTAGACTCAAAGTCACTCAAGCTAGTTTCCAAAACCTCGTAGTACAAGGCATCCTGGCGATGCATGCTGTACCCGTAAGTTGTTGCTTGTCCACCGAGAATATGATACAAGGTCTGGTTGGGTTGGTTGGAGTTCCGCTTAATGAACGCCTTCGGCTTGCCGGTACTTGCAAGGACCGGCGCGAAGCGCAGATGAGTCGATTCCACGTTCAGGTGCTCGCCGACCTTCTTCGAGAACTGATCGTAAGTCATCTTACGACTCAACGTGAGTGTGAACTCATCGCCTTCATCCGCCTTGATCGGAGCAAAAGTGATGTTGATCCTGTTCAGCAGGTAATCATAATATTGCCTTGCGTCCGTATACAAGGCGGTTGCCGGTAGGTCTGACTCCTTGATCGTTCTCTGGAAGGTGATGATGTCTCCATCCTGAATCTCGGACTGCTGGAAGGTCTGCTTCGGCTTCATCACGTCGATCATGTTATGTTTGATCTCTTCGAACAGCATGAACTCGGTCCCAGCAGGCCAGCCCATCTTCTCGAGGATGATAGGGGCGAGGTCCGCAACCTTCTGTGTCTTGCGCACGTAGACTGCACCGACACCGGCGATTGTTTGCGAGGGCGCATCGAAATGTTTCAAAAAGACGAGCACCGAGTTGTTATCCGGCCAGGAGATCGATCCATCTGCGGAAGGCTGGCCCACCTCCATCCAGACCTTGAACGGGTTTCCTTTCGTGCCATAGCGATTGTAAGCTTCCTCCACAGTCATGTCCTGATCCTTGATGACTTGGTCCGGCCGAGTCGTCTTGTTCTGTCGATTTACCATGACCCAGAAACGGACCTGTTCAGGATCGAGTCCCTTCTCCTCTGCGAGCTGCTGTGCAAACTCTCCGACCTTCTTAGCCCGGAGGATTCTGTATTGCTTCGGCACCGCAGGATCGGTAGCTGGCAGGTCTGCACTGGTGAGATCAAATCCGTGATGGGCCTGGAAAGACTCGTCGCTCAATACGCCAACATTGATATATAGGTGGGCTTCTTCTCTCTCCTTCTTTCTGCGCGCCAACTCGATACGTTCTTCCACGAGTCGGTTTTCTGCGGCATAGTTAGTATAGATCTTTAGAGCTGATGAGGATGCCCAACATACCGATGTGGGAGGGAACTTGTTCCTTTGTTATAGGCAAGAGAACATCATCCAATCTCGACTTCCGAATGTATACCAGCATGTAAGCGTTCATTGAGCGCTTGGTCGACAGCCCGCGGGTGTAAGGCTGTCTGACACCAGCCGCGCCGTTGGCCAGCTCATATTCACCACCGTAATTCTCCTCGAGCACCTCCTTGTCCGTCGCCCGGGTCACCCGATCGTCGTCGAACCGGTACCAGTGTCCATCCTTGGTAGGCTTCAAAAAGGCGTAGTAATGACCGGCATTAAGGTCACCGCTGTGCACCAGCACACCATGCAACTCGTAGATCCAGGGCTCAGACTTATCGGCATCGTTGGAAAGGTACGGGGTGGCGTCGAACTCCATGGGGAAGGCGTGGCGGTCGTTGATCTTCATCATGGCGTCACGATGGATGTCATACTCGAATCGCTTGAGATGAAGGTGCAGAACAGGTGGGAAGCTCTCAAAGATCACACCTTTCTTGGCGTCCTGGAGACCGTAGGGCTGTCCGGCATCGTACTTGTTCTCGCCTTCAAGAGTCTCCACCTGGATGTAGTCCTTGAAACTGTCGTCGAGGGTCTTGTTGCCTCGAACGTTGAGTTGGATATCCCAGAAGTCCTCCACTCGCGACGATTCGTAGTCGACATTGATGCAGGAGATATAGGTTTTCGTTTTTCCGACGAACATCTCCGGGAGAGCCTTTTCTGCCGGCGTGCCCTTCATCTTCTCCTCCATCCTCTCCATAAGCTTTCGAGAAAGCTCCTGGACATCCTGTTGCTCAAAGATTTGTCGCGATTCCCAGCCGAAGGATGCTGTGAGTTCTGTCGTCGAGACAGAGTTCTCACTCGTTTGGAGGTTATAGAACAGTCTCTGAAGCGTCCAAGCACTGTTGTCTCTTGAAGCCTCGGCCTCTGTCGGGATCTCGTAGACGGCCTTGACGCGTGTTAGCGCATTCACGTCGAAGCAGATAGATACTGCCACGTACCTTGCGGAACTTGTTGGTGAAGTATAAAGACTGCAGAAGCGAATTCAGATAGCAGGTTGCGCCTTGGTTCTTCAACCCCACCATGCCTGTTTCCTTCTTCGAATCGTAGCTGGAAACAATCAGCAAGAGGTCTGGGTAGACATCTGAGCAGATACATACTTCTGGAAGCTGTGCCACAGTACTCCTGTGGGATCCTTGACAACACGCACGTATGCTGTGATCTTGGCCTCTTCGTTCTGCACCAGAGGAACGCCGCGGCCCTCCCATGGCACGCTAAAGAGTCTGCGCAGCTCACAGAATCGGGTAAATCCCCAGTCACCCTCGTCCGCATTGAATCGATGTGTGGCGACTACATTCCGATCAGCGAAAATAGCCACGGCTTCCAGTCTGGGTATACGCACCGTGAGAGATGTAGATGGATGGGTCGTTTACGTTGGACAAAACCAGAGCGAACTGAACGCAAGCGTACCAGTTTGCTGGAGGTTCGTTTTCCCAGGCATGCTCCAGGTAAAAGGATGCGTGTTCGACATGATTACCGTAAGGAAAGAAGAGGACTCGCCTATGAATAGATGTCAGAGCCAGCTCGTCGGATCGAAGCGACAGGACGGTGCACCCACCAAGGAGAGCCGGCGCACTGGAAGACCGGGCCGTGTTCCTTCTTCTTGAGTTTCCGCCAATCCTGGATATGCCATGTGTGATACGTCTCATCTTCTGTTTCCAAATCGGGGTCTTTCGGGAGGATCCGGGCCATCATTGCTGCATCTGTAGTGGAAATCGGGGGATCAGACATGTCCTCAAGCTTGACGGAGAAAGCGCTCGTCACCGCGACCTGTAACGGCTCACCCCCACCGCGGGGATTCCGTGACACCAACACACAACCATCACCACGGCACACGAGACGCCAAAGGGAGCAAAGGAAGACGGGGGGAGAAGGATCTTACGATCGTCGGCAAGAGGCTCTGGCTCCGGTTCCTCCGATCCGGACCGAGAGACGACGACCTCGTCGGTTCTGTCATTGTGATACTGCTCATATTCGTCGACGAGCATCTCACTGTCTGGGACCTATGAGGATCCGGGAACACGATGTCAGCGATCGGTGGCTTGCGGGGGGGACAGGCATATCTGGGGAGGTGAATGCGAAATGATTTTCAGAGAACCACAATATGAGGGAGAACTTACGTTGTCCATGTAGAAGGAAAAAAGTGCGTACCCGCACTGGAGTTGAACGACAGACTCTTCTCACGGACGGGACGCTGCAGGTTGGATGGGGAGGAGTATTAGATCGGAACGGGTTAATCCTTTCGGAGAGGTGGATAGGATAGGGCGAGAATGGAAGGGAGGAGGTGGAGAGGTCAGAACCTCGTAAGACGAGAATGAGAATTGAAAGAGAAGAGGAGGATCTGGGCTGCCGTTGATTCCAGTCCGCAGGAGTTTGGGATGAAGCTAGTGGCGGAGTTGCCATAACCCAATAATAACGGCCATGCGGGACACAGCAGCCCTTATTATTAAGAGGTTTCTGGTACTTCCCCTAACAAACCAGCACCAACACCAACACCTTTCCTTTTCCTCTTTTTCTTTTTCTTTTTCTTTTTACTGCCTGTTAGTACTGCTCGATTCGCTGCCTATGAAGTTAGTCCAATCAGTAGATTGGGGTTAATTAATATGGCTCATTGACTTGAGGAAGGTGGATTTCTTAACAGTGACCATACTACTAGTCACTTCCATTTACGCTCGTATGATGGTTGACTCCATTGCTATGCTATGGGCATTCAACTTGATGCTACCTGTCATGAGTTGTGTGAACACAGGACCTGTACAAAAAGAAAATATTAACAAAAGGCAGTTACCGGTTTTGCCATCTGCAGCTTTACTCTAGGCGGCTATTAGGTCAACTTCTCCTGGCAGTTGCCTGGCGTTATCTTATTTACTATGCAGGACCAAGTAAGGCAAGGCTGATAGGGACTGTACTTACAGTAGTAGTAGCTAGCCACCTACCCAAACGTGATATCACCCGTGCATTTTTTTGACGCTCCACCGTCCAAACTAGACCAAATCCGAGCAATATTAAGATGCTGCAGTTCCGACTGACCGAAAAAAGGATGATGTGAAAAAAGAATTTATCCGGCATCTTATAAATAAATAGTGAGAGGGAAATAATGTATCGTATAGCTATTGGTAGTTCAGTTAAGTATGCTTACTCTTTCTTACTTCGTGCTCTTCCTACCAATTATCCTTCTATTCCATTAGGCTTGGACCTCTTTCCAACGCCATCCGCTCTTTAGTCCACGATCGGGTGGAATGGAAGATCACCGTTTTAATTAGGCAACACCCAGCACCAGCACCAGCATCCCTGTACTGTATCCCTAACTTCTACCCAGTACCAATCTGACCTCGGATTGAGGAGATTTCAGCTATACAAGATTGACACGAATACTCTCAAGGAGGATATTTCATAAGTGTTGATGATTACTTTCATTCATTTCTCCGTTACATGTGAGCATCGGCACGTCACATGCCTAAAGCTCTCACCGCCCGGACGCCTGGAAAACCGGCCGCATTTGCCATCAGGAACCATGTCATGCCACTGTGATTTCAGCGGTCGTGGACCAAATTGATCCTCTGCAGAGCCATGTATGGACCATTCTATCGGAACTTGATCTCGTGTGGCTCTTTTGATGCGCGCCCGTTCTGCATTGGCGTAATACGGTCCCCTCCATGCCACACCCGCGCTTAAGCCGTTGACTCAGTCCAAACCACAGCAATATGGCGTGGAGTCATTCAGCTCGTCGCTGGCGGGCTCTTCGTCAATGCTGCACTCCAAAACTACGATTTAATTCCACTCAGCAAGCTCACAGTCCGCCGCCGTGGAGACCGGTATCGGCTTTGGACGAGTAGGCTATCCTTGACACATTCTACCGGGCGTCAATGCTAATGGCTTGCAGATGGGTTGAGCGTGACATCCGTCCTATCAGTTTGCGACAGCTTACCTTCTTTGGACGAACCCTGACAGAATCCCGGCTCATCAGTTCGGCCAACTACGTACGAACTGAGCTTCCAACTAGGTTAGTGCGGTCATTCCATGGCAGTTGACTATTTAACTAACTTAAATATTTCACTAGACTCGCACATCGTCTACGAGATATCCAACGACTCCCGTATGTGGTGGTGGCCAATCCCCACCTGTCCATGGTGTACGAGCTCTACTACAAGGCATTCGAGCGGTTTCGGACCATCCCAGAGATAAAGACCTTGGATGACAATGACAAATTTTGTGACATCCTACGTAAAACGCTCCGAGAACACCTAGTTGTGATCCCCAAACTGGCAACGGGTGTCCTGGAGTGCCGCGAGCTCGTCCCATCAGATGTGCTGGACAGCTTTATGAACACACTTCTCCGAGCGGTAAGACCTTGTCTGGTTGGATGGTATGTTTCTCGACTAATATATCTGGTTTAATAGAGAATTTCACGCCGCGTTATCGCCGAGCAACATCTTGCTTTGACGGAAACCTTTAACTCTCCGTGGCACTTCCCTGGATCCCAAGATCGCACAGATCTAAATGCCGACTTTGTCGGTGAGGTATTCCTCAGATGCAACGCGAAAGAGGTTGCTGAACGGTGCGGGAAGCTGGCGCAGGATATGTTGCGGCAGAACGGTGGATCGGATAAGATACCAGAAATCTCGGTGCAGGGACACCTCGAGGCAACCTTCCCTTACATGCTGAGTCACTTGGAGTATATCATCGGTGAGCTACTCCGCAACTCGATCCAAGCTGTGAGTGAACGATACCGGGACTCTACGGAGAAACCGCCGCCTATCGAGGTTCTCATATGCGAGGCCCCGCAGCATGTGATCTTGCGGGTATCGGATCAGGGTGGCGGCATACCGCGTAAGGTTCTGCCATACTTGTGGTCTTTCAACAAGGGCCCTTACAGCACATCACACCTCCAGAACTTGGGACAGGTTCCCGCCATGGCTGCCACCATGCAGGAGCTGTGCGTGCCGACAGAAAGAAAGGATGCGGATCGGGACACGTTCCGCGAGAGCTCGCTGGATTCGCTGACCTCGCGGCCCCCTAATCTACGTCTGGGGATCGGTCTGCCCATGAGCCGAGTGTACGCCGAGTACTGGGCGGGCAGCTTGGAGCTCCACAGCCTCGAAGGTTACGGAGTGGATGCGTTCCTGCAGATCTCGAAACTCGGCAACAAGAACGAACAGGTGACGACACGTGCATCGATTGATGCAGTATAGAGGCTCGAAGTACGGAGAGGCTAAGTCGTATATACCTCCAAAGATACACGTTAAACGAACACCAACCGCAACAATGGCACCTGCCTTTAACATCTCCTATCTACTAGTTCAACTCCCCACTTACCCCAGGTTTTCCGTAGCTCGGCCTTAAGCCCAAACAGGCAAGCGCGGCCCATTTGCGGCAGCTTGCGGGATGACGTCAGCCGGAATGGGATCCGGGCAATTCCAGGCCAAACTAAAAACATTTCTGCCTTGTTCAGTTGGTGGCCTGGCAAGGGATTGATCGCTCAACTCGGCTGCTGTGTTGTTCTCTCATACTCGACTTGGCTTGTGACTTGCTACCCGTGGCGCTGGCTCACAAGGCTGATCAACACTTGGGAAGCCAATTTGATCTTCCAGTACCACCTTCCCGTCCCGGTGACGTCGATCTAGAAACAACCTGTGAAACCTTGTGACTGATCCGATCCTCTCTCCCCTTCTTGATTCATATACAATGAAGCGTCTCAATTCCAACAAAGACGACAACGTCCCCATCTACATCTACATCCTGCTGGTGGTGATTCTAACCCTCAGCTTCCTGGGTACCTATTTGGACTCGAGCAAACGTGTCAAGTCTGCCGCACGGTCCTAATCAGCACTACTACTACTACTACTACTACTATATTGTCGTTATCACATAGCCTTTAAATCAACAAAGATGGCGGGAACATGCTCCATGCTCTGCTTGATTCTGATTACCTTGTTCAGTATGCAGCCCCTCCACTTATATTCTCACACTTTTTCATAAATCTGAATCTGAAGCTAATTCTTCTGCTCATCTAGTACCTCCTCTCGGTGTGTTTATGATCTCGGGTTGCAGTGTTGATCTGCTTATCAATATACTCTTGACGATTCTCGGGTTAGTTCCTCATCCTTCGTTTTCACTATACTTCTTCGCCTTCGCAGTGTTACATTAAAAGTAGATGGTTTCTGACCGTGTTCACATTGTGCAGGTACTTACCCGGTCACATCCACGCATTCTACCTCGAATACGTATACTATGCCAATCGCAACGCAGGAACAGGCGAAGCACCACGTCGTGCGCCGGGAGTCTATTCCGAGCGGATTCAGCGCGGGGGAAATCATCACACGACGTATGGCACGATCCCTTGATGTATGCTGAATGATTCAAGCTGCATGTGAACATGGCTGTTTCTTTCTCCTTTACATTCAACTGTTCCGGGTATTACTATGTTACGAAACCCTAAAATGAACGATCAAAGTCGATAGCATCATTAACTGGAGTTGAGGTTCTTTTATTTCTACAATGCAAGTAGATGACATGCTCAACCTCAAACCTAAACCCAGCCCATGCCTCCATAAATAAATAAATAAAACACCCATTAATAAACAAGAACAATCCCAATGCAATTATACCATCCCTCCTACATAAACAACTCACTATACTCCCCAACCTACACCGCCCCAGCAGAAGCAGAAGCAGTCCCAACATTCCTCCCCTTCAACGCCGGCAACCCAAAAGCCCTACTCGTGCCCACATCCCCCCCGGTCCTCATCGCACCCCCGGTCTGTGGAGCCCACCACAGCGCCCCAACCCACGGCTGCACATTCCACCCGACCGAGAGGGTAACATTCTCCCGTTCGGCCATCTTCCCCGAAACATCCCCGATGGAGTACTTCGCCCGTTGATCGCGGAGTCTCAGTTTCCCAGGCTCAGACGCCTTCTTACTGGCAGTTTTACTGGAAGATGAAGTCTTCTTCGTACTGCGCTTCTTACTCGCAGACGATGATGCAGAGGGGAAGAATCTCTCGCGCAGGGCATTAAACGAGTACGGCGACTCCGGGGCCGGGATGATGGTGTCCCAGATGACGGAGTGGGAGGGCGCGGAGGTGGTTGGGTTGGAGGGGTCGGAGGGGTAGGTCGCGTAGACGTAGACGAAGAGTTGTTTGGTGTTCCAGTTGAAGAGGGGGGTTAGGTCTTTTGTATGGTTGTCAGTTATATAGGGGAATGGGAGATGGGTATGGGGGGGATGTATGTACCAGCGTCCAGATCGAATTTCATGGCGGCGTATTCTTCCTTTCGTGTGCTGTAGTAGTGGGGACGGCCTTTTGTTCTGTTGAATGGGTTGGGCTGGGTTAGTTACGTTGGTGTGGATGTGGATGTTATGTTATGGGGGTGGTGTATAGGTATCGGAGGGATTGGATTAAGCTGAAGAGATGAGGGGAGAATATGGGGGGATCGTACACTTTCACATCGCGCAACTTCACACTAGACGTTACATCGTCAGTAGGATAGAGAAATACGCTGAGAGCAGCGAGTCCGGCGACGAAGAGAGCGACGGTCGTGAAGAAGCCGAAGACGCCTTGGGCGCGGTTGAGGGTTGAGTGCATTCTCCCCTCTATGTGTATGGACCGCGATGGAAAGGTGGTTTATGAAAAGGAAGATAGGGAGAATAACTCCCTGTGAAGTTGCGACGTCGCGAGGATGTTTGTATTGGGGATAGTATTGGTGATAGTAGGAGAAACAAAGCTGGGCGGAGCTTGAAGCCACATGGGCCTTTTTCGGGATTGGTTGAGCTGAATGGCTGGCTGGCTTATCGATAAGCAAGCAGCTACTAGTAGTCACTTATCGTTGTATCTCCGGTACTGTCTGTCGCACTTTGCTACAACTTCATTTCCTCGTTGGATTGAATTGCTGCGCGCAAGGTTATTATAGACTGCCGCATATACTCTCGCTACTTATACTAATCTTTCTTCATTATTACTACAATATTCTCTCAATTAATTACCTACTTACACCCACCACACCACTTCCTCAACACCAACCACTAATTAACCCCGCATACTCTCTCCCCTCCTTCAAATTCCACACCATAATAGACCACACAAACTATATACATTACAAGATAAAAGCAAATAAAATGGGTGACCACGTCCTCTTCTTCTACGGTACCCACACCCTTTCCCCCACTACCTCACCCCTACTAAGATCTCCTTCAAAGGAACCCTAATGGCCCCTCCCATCCTCCACCGCGTAATCCACGGCCACTCCACTCCAGAACCATGGCAAAAAGCTCTTCTGACAATCAAGCCGGCAATCCTGCATGGCTATCGACGCCATCGCGTCCGGTATGCGGATTATCCGGGTATCATACCTACCACATCTTCATCTTCATCTGGTGATACTACTGCTGCTGGAGAGGCATCTGTGCTAGGCACAGTAGTGTGGGGATTAACAGACGGCGACGTATATCGATTGGATCGGTTCGAGGGGAGTGAGTATGAGAAGAGGGCGGTTAGGGTGAGGGTTCTAAATCATCAGCAGCAGGGTGAGGGTGAGGGTGGTAATGGGGAGATACAAGAGGTGTTAGATGCAGCGGAGACAGAGGGCAGCAGCCAGACCAAGGAAGGGGAGGAAGTAGAGGCCGTTACGTATGTGTGGACTGCTGGAAAGGAGCGGTTAGAGGATGCGGAGTGGGATTTTGAGGCGTTCAAGAGAGATAAAATGGCGTGGTGGGTGCAGGCGGATGAGAAGGATTGGTAGGTAGTAGGCATAGATTTAGATCAGATCAGATCATCCGATTCTATCAATATCGATATATACAATACATGTCACCCCTCGTCTTGAATTCCACTGAATCAATCGTATGCAAATGCTTGGTATCTAATGCAACTGTCAACTCAGCCCTCCCCTCCCTAGTGTTCCGGAAACGCCTGCGTGCGGATGGCACGAATTAGGAAAATATCAAAGCAAATAATGCATAAGACAAGTTTTAGAGATAGTGCTTTCGTTACTACTATGTGCATAGCTGACTACCTCGTGGGTGTCCCTCGTACTTGGGTCTCGACTGCCACGACACTCACACCGTCGTCAGGACTATCGCCCTCCGGAGCATCTTCTTTGTTGTGGACAACGGTGCGCGGCTGTGTCTCCGACTCCGGGCTCTGTCGTCGTGGCTTTGATGGTTTGGATTTGGTCTTAGGTGGCGCTGCCTCCGGCTGACTGTCTGGGACTAGGACAACATCTTTCTCGGGAGATGCTTCGGGGTGCCGTGACTCTTTGGTGTCCACTACCGGTGATCTTTGGATCTCCTTAGGTTTGTCCTGGCCCGCGCTAGTTTCCGCTTCGGCTTGCGACTGTCGTTCAGAATTCACAGTCTGAGTAAGGTCCCCCGAGCCATTCGACGGCCCTTTTTTCCGGTGTGAACGTTTGCTTTCGCTCTCCGCACCCTCCAGCACGGGACTACCGAGTAGGTAACAGACTGGCTTCTTATTCACCATAGTGTCTTTGTCACTGATCTCATGGCGTTTGAGCTGCTCCTGCTCGTCATAAAGCATGTCAAGAAATTTGCGGAGTCGCCGTCGGAGGAGACCGGACTTCAGCGGAGGCCAGTCGTCTTTCGAATCCATCTCCTTCTGAAGAAGCTTCCTGACAAACACATCCGGATCTTGGACGAATTTCTCCAGGTATGCCAGAAGATACAGGCCGCAGTCGGAATAGTTGGGCTGCAGGGGAATATCCCGGGCCCTCATACCCTTGATCAGGCCTTTGTCAATTTCGACGCCCTTCTTAGATTTGGCTTCTTCGTATAGATATTCACGAAGGGAGCTTATTGTTGGCGAACGGGGCACATTCAGCGAGTCAAAAGTAATAATGATCGGCTGGCAGACGTCGTATCTAGGGCCCGCTCGCTTTGCCTTTTGTTTGCGAGGCTTAGCTGATGGTTCGGGCAGTTGAGCAGCTTCCTTCGTATCAAGCTTCTCGGGCGTCGTCGCATTCTCTGTGAGACTGGAAAGAGTTTTGGAAGGCCTTTCTGGGCTAGCTTCGAGCTCAGGCCACTCTTGATCTGCAGCAGGACTCTCTGCAGGCTGGTCCTTTCCAGCCCCATCAGCTATCCTCATAGTTTCTAGGGATCGCCTAGCTAACTCCGCTCTCGTAGGGCCTGAGCCGTTGACCAGTTTTTCTTCCTTGTCCTTATTGGTGGCTACTTCCGGCTCTGGCGTTTCAGAGATCTCCTGAACCTGACTGTCTGGTGGCCCCGAAGGTTCTTTTTCGCCTTGTGTTGGTTCATTTGTATCCAGCACTTCCTGGACAATCCCCTGCAGGCTTGGTAAGTTGCAGATTATAGCAACATACCAGTGCGCACTTTCATTGATTGGGACCACGACATAATCATGACTGAATATGTCGACGGTCCTCGTCCACTTCTGCACGCCTTCATAATTTATGCCCCGCTTGCCCCGGGGGACATTCATAAGTGTATCGTGAAAGAAGGAGTTGAAAAAATAGACTCTCTTCGCCGCGTCACTATTGGTGCGCTCCAGATGATCTTGCAGGAATCGAATGTAGAACCCGATAAGGTTGTCATTCAAGAACTCATTCTCGCGCAGTCGGTCAAGGTCGTAAACATCCACCTCGGCCTTCTTCTTCCCAACCATCGGATAGACAAGGGGTCTACTACATAGTCAGCATCAATAGGTACCGTTGTTTGCAGAGTTGCATACTTGTGCCACTTTTCAATGTTTACAGCTGGCAAAGGCGGCTGCGTATCTTCATCATCGCTATCGTCACTGTCATGGTTTGTCAGTCGTAGTTACCACAGTATATCGACCAGCCAATACATACCACACTACAGTAGTCGCGGAAGGAAGACGAGACATGGCTCTTGTGGTGATGCTGGACGCAGACTTCTTCACGGGAATTTCCACACCGGGGTCCGTGGCGCTCTTCGACACACGGCTTGGGCTTGATTCAGGCTGCGATGGGTTCGAGTTGTTGGGCTTGGGTGCAGTAAGGGAGGGGTTTGCACGTTCCCGAGAGGCGGCGTCCGGCGGCGACGGCTGTCTCCCAGCGGCAACCCCGTTTTCATCTCGCAGATTGTCCGTAAGCTTCACCCGTTTCGTGGTGTCACGCTGCTTGTCCGGGACTTGCTCAAGACCGCTTTCCGATGATGGCCGTTTAATTCCATTTGTAGATTGTTTACTTTCTCTTTGGGCCTTGTTGAACGCTTTGTCCATCCATTCGCTGCTCTTATATCAGCCTCAGTTGAATAGCAAAAGGTATTGTTCAGGAACAGCAACAAGAGCCAAAGGAAAGCGGCACAAATAGAGAACAGTGAACTGACATACCTTGACTTGTCACGAACGTCGACCTCACCCAATAAACAGCAGAATTCCTCCTTCACAGTGAAAGACATGAACTCAATATCGATCCGATTATCGAGTTCCGACGTCTTTGATAGCACTAATCTGACCTTATTGTTTGGTGACTCTGCTTTCAGAATCTGTCGTACTCTAGAAAGAGGCGCTTCAAAAACGTTCTCCGAATCTGGCTCTTGACACAGTGCGATTGTGCGCTTCGTCATGTCGACGTGAACCTCGACGGACTTGCCATCCGATGCCTGCTGTTCGATAGGACCAGTTCGGACGAGCTTCACTTTAAAGGATCGCTGGTTCGACATTTCGGAAGCTTTGGTCTTCTTGTTTTTCCGTTTCCCTTTCTTGCTTGCCCCGGAGGCTTCGAAAAGAGTGGGTTTGATGTCTTGAGACAGGTGCCCACGGCCTGTCGTGCGTTGATTTCCAAGCTCAGCTCTCTTGTCTCCAATTTGAGCGGGCGGTGGCCGCACTGTTACCGCCCCTTGAAGCTCATCGGGACTCTCCCGCGATTCAGACACCCGTCTTGTGGGTTTTGCCGCGATTTCCGGATCTTGAAGCAGACCCATCTTTGCCTTATTTGCAGGTTCCTGTGATTTCGCATTTATGATTTCGACGCTTTGTAGGATCTCATGTTTGGAGGATCGTTCCTGTTCGGCGCCGGAGTCTACGTCGGCAATGAAGGAATTGTTTCTCCGTCTTTCTTTGGTGGCATTTTTCGTGAAACGTTCATCGCGGTCATCATCGGACGGTGCTCCGAAGTTGGGTAAAGGACCACGTTTTGGGCTTGGTTGTATCCGGGAAGGTCTCACGATATTTTCAGTGCTTCGGTACTCGTCCACTTTTGAGCGTCTGTTATTCCGCTGTTTCTTTTGCTTCCCTGAACTCTGGCTCAAAGTAGGAGACATACGTGGTGGGTGACCGGCGATGCGGGGCGCCTCCTGAGCGGGGTGCTCAACATCGTTGTCAGACGGTTTTGTGAAATTTCCACGGCTGGAATCGAGGGTATCCTGGCGGCGCCGTTTATTGGGTCTTTCAGAGCCTGCGTATCCTGTGACATTTCCTAGCTGGCTGTTCCGTAGGCGATTCGGTTTTCCTTGTGCACGAACCGGTCCACTGTCTCGGCCTTTCGATATCGTATCCACGGGTCTGAAAGGTGACTTGTTCCTGCTGTCAGCACGAGCACAGAAGCATTTTCAGTTCTGATCATATCATACCTTGGGCTTATTGCTCTTTGTTTGTCCTGGCACTATAGGGATTCCACCGGGGTCATTCCTAGAAAAAGTGAACCTCGCTGATCAGCATATATTCATATGGCCACTGCGCAAAACTGAACGCACCACTTATTGGGAGGAAACAACCTAAGTTCATCGTATGCTTCGGAACGCTGGCGCGACTTGGCATGTGTTGGGTCGCCAGACCTAATATCAATCGAGTCAGTATCACTCGGTCTGCTTCCGCATTGCGAGGCCATATTTACAGGCGACGCATTCCTGATTCTGATCGAGGAACGGTCTGGCGATATTGTGGACGTACAGGTCGGTGTTCGTAAGGATGTCGAAGTCCTTCGGCATTGCTGAAAGCAGTCTATCACGGCCGGTGTTAGCAGAGCGGAAAATGTAAAATTATTGGCCAAGACATGAGTTGCGAAAGAATGATCGCATGGTAATCTGGAGAGCGCCGGGTGGAGTACGGATACTTACGGTGATAGGATCAAGGCTTTCAAGAGATGTATGAAGAGATCCGTATTCTATAGGCGAACCGGGATTCCATGCGCCGGACGTCTCAGTCCGCTGTATGTGATCGGAGGTCGCATCTGATGGGGGCGCAGGATCGGGGGAGGTTTGCGGGGAGGAGGGGGGTCGAGTGGAGGTGCGACCGGTGAGGAAGTCTGAGAGTTGTTTGAAGAGTGGCATATAGTCACGAGCGAGGTCATTGCATGACCAGACAGGCCAAGAGGGTTCTCATATTCGGCGAATACCGAGCAGAAGTGGGCATGGCGATAGAGAGAAATGCATCATGGATGGGCCAGAAAAGGCGGTGGGGGGATTCTGCCCACCGACGTGCGGAGCCCTACAAATCTGCTGACTAGTTCTAGTCCGGCCACTAGTGCCCGCACTAGTGGTGTCTCGTGCATTTGCTGTAGATAGTCTACAGTATGGCTCTGTAATCACCATTCAGGATGCCAAATAAGTATCATTTTGCGATATATATAGTAGTACCACTTCCTTCAGCACTGAGGCAGCATCTGGAGTTGACACACTTTCAAGTTTATGATGTAATGATGTCTGTTACCACTCTTAGCGGTAGATGAGGGCATTAACACGGTTTGCGGATATATATATACTACCGTTTACTACTTAATACACATATTAATACAATCACCATGATTGTGCCTGCGCACACCGAAGTAAATGCTACTTAGTATTCATAGTAGTACTACGAATGATGCTCCTAATCTTATCTACCATGATTAGACCGACTAAAACACTCGAATATTGTGAAATGGTGTAAAACTACCAGAAATCAATCTGGTAGGAAGACAGATGAACAATGTATCACAAAAAGCCTGGCCATAATATCAAGTCATAATCGATCTCTAAATATCAGAATGATAGTTAATCTGCCCTCCCCATACAATAATACCTGATACCTAGATCCATACCTGTAGTGGTGTCATTATTAGAAGTTAATAGAAAACCCTCAAATACTACGTAGTGTTTGAGATGCTCAATCCAATCATAAACAGCACTCAAGGGCTACAAGAAATACAAGCAGGTATCCCCCTCCTCATGACACAGTAACTAAGTACATACTCCAGCTCCAAGCTATACACCAACCACGACCAAGTAACTAATGCACCACAATACCTTAACGCAACCCACACACAGTTGCTCCATAATGCAGGTTCAACTTCCTACAGTAGTAATGCCCTCCTACCGTCATTGAATATGATAGATCATATCCCTGCAGTAGATTATAGCAGACTAGCCTGCAAGATGTTATATGGCTGGTTTACATTGGCCGTGTCTCCACTTCAGAGATTTCTATCCAGACTATTCAGGTCTAGGTTCCATGAGATGCAGGTAAAAATTGGTGGGAATAGTACCCGCGGCCTGTAAGATATGAAGAGATAGGGGAAATGAGTAAGAATTAGAATTAAGTTGGAATAGAGAGACGTGGTTGAAGGGTTGGATGGATGGCATTGAAAAAACTACCAAGGAAGGGTGTCGGGGTGGGTTAAGGAATAACTTCATCGCGGTGTTTAAAGAAGTTATCGCTTGGGGTTTAGTTTTAGTGCTTTCCGTATGAGGGAAGAAATCAGGTGTAGACAGTAGGACAGAATCGACCTAATTCCACGTGGGTTCCCAAAAAGACCCGAGATTATTGGAATTAGAGAAAAATCAAAAGCATGCGGGAAATTTAAATTGTAGTAGTTTACATGCACGATCTACTAGTCTGGTTCGAAGAAAAGTCACTAGCAGATCAATAACTAGTCATTCCGATCACAATTCATGCGGGTGAGGAAGTAGACAGAAGAAGAAGATACTAAGTATAGCAGTAATAAAAGTAGTTACGCTTCATCCCATCCGAGCACCCCAAACTTGCATATCCACGTGCAGTAGCAGCGCCCATGAATTGAAATAAAATGGACAGAAAATAAAAACCCAAATCGAGATCACTCAGTATTTCGCCCTAAATGCCCCGATCCCAAATCATCCCAATGAGATTTTTGTATGGCCTTTACTATACAGGATCATAACCCACGTAAAGCATGTCAAGATGTCGTGCCTTTTCCTTTATCCCCCTCGTCATTCGCCGTAACTCTTCGTCGATCGCCCAGCTGGTGTTGCTGGTTGTGGTTGTGGTTGTTATGGTGGTGATGGTGATGGTGATGGTGGTGATGGCCGGCGTTTCCGGCGGCCTTCTCCTGGCGAGCCTGGTCGATGGCCGAACGTTGGGCGATACTGTCATCGTGACTCTTCCAGACAATGTTGGTGTCGGCGGGGAAGTTGAGTAGTCGTTTGATTGTCTCCCTGCAGAGCATGTTAATAAACCGGGGATGTCGCTTCCAAGGCAATGTGTCCACGTATGACATACCTGATCTTGATGTTCCGCCCGCCATCGATGCGGGTCCACACATTCAGAACATCCTCCCCGCTCCGCACACTGAGAACCGCACCACAAACCTCATCGCTAGCCTCTGCAAATTGGTCACCGATCATAGCCAAGAGGAGGTCCTCCCAGTAGCGATCCGCAACCCCCTTCTTCAGCCTCACCACCCATTTTCCACCCCGCTTATTGGCTTCGTCCTCCCATACCGGACGAATGCCTTTCTTGAAGATATGGTAATCGGAGACGGTGGGGAGCAGAGAAGGCCTCTTTAGGTGCGAGTAGATCGACCAGAAACTCTCTACTGATGATATGGATGCAAGCGGGGCGGTAGATTTTTCGTAATCGGAGTATTTAGGTGTGGGAGGCCGGTACCAGATAATCCAAGTGGACTTGAGCGGGTGCTCCTTGAGCGTCAAGGCAACACCCTTGGTTTTGCCGGCCTCAGCGGCGGAAGCCTGGTCGACAGGGTTTTCGCGCTTCTCGCCGGGGGTTTTCAGGTCAGAAGGTGCACCGGGGGTTTTGGGGGTTCCAAACGACGCAAAGGCACCGGAGCCCAGGCCGAATGCAGAGGAGGCGTTTGTAGACGGAGAGGACACGCCGCCGGAGAGAGGGGAGAGAGCGTTGAAAGGGTTGGACCGGCCGCCGTGGGAGCTGTCGGGGCCGAAACGCTTGGTGGCGCGGGGAAGTTCAACTCGAGCGCCGTCCGTCCCCGTCATAGACAGAGACAACTTGGAGGTGCTGTAGACAGGAACAAAAGATCAAGAAGGTTAGTTGAGTCGCATCGGCCACGCAAGTATGCGGGCAAAGTCATCGTGCGGAAGTGGGACGTACTTGGATCGGCGAGTCCAGAGGTTTGCGTTATCCATGGAGATAGCTAGTGACGGCCCAGAAAGCGAGCGATCATCAGCCGGGGACACAGGATCCGGCGGTCGGGTTGTTTTGCGAAGGGGAGGAGGAGGAAGAGATTCGAGGTGGTGGACGAAGATATCGAGCAATCAAAGGAGATCGAGTGACACAGGACCCAAGTCTGAAAATTACTAGATAGATTTAGATTGAGGGTACAAGAAGGGACGCGGCGAGCGGAGCAGTCAGGACGGTAGTCGAGGCGAGGCGAGGGATAGAAGGTGACGAATGTTGGAGAGGAGGAATCGTGATCGTGATCGTGAACGTGGCGAGGGAAGTTCTGAGAAGGTCGAGGGGGGAGAAGCAGGAAGTAGATACTTTGGTAGATGTGAAGTGGGAAAGGGAAGGGAAGAAGAAATGCGGAATTGCGGTTTCTGGAAGTGAAGAAAGAACTTGGGAAAGTCGAGCACTTCCAGCTGCCCGCCAGCCAATCACCATCCCGCCCCGCCTGCCCGCCCGCTCCGTCGTTTTTCCTTGCGGCGCCCTTTATTAACCGCTGAATTTTTTCGCATCTCTTTCTCTTCTTCTTTTTCTTCTTTAAACCCAAGACCACCAACTCAAATCATCGCTGGCTGCACACTTTTGATTCTGTCGAATTTTCAACTGCACTGGCGATTCCGATGAGTGTGTCGAGAATATTTTAAATACCCGCTTCTAAAACCATCATCACGAGGGCTCTTCCGGGCTCCATGATGCGGTGATGACCTGTATGACGGGACATGCCTTTGCCAATATCATGTTTTTGGCATTGGCTCCCTGAAAATTGAATTGTAGCAGCTGTGGAATCCTTAGTCCGGCGCATCTGTAGTAATTCGACTGTTGCCGGTGCGTTCTTCCTCTCCTTGTCCTGTCTGGCAGTCTGTTCAAATGAACAACAGCCGACGGCCGCTTCCCGGTCCCCTACGATGCATGATGAAGCTTTCATTCACATACTCTGGTAATCCGAGGTGCTCAACCGCTTCCACACTACTATTACGGTGGTGTAGGCATTTGCTGGTCGAGTGTGAGGTCCACAGGCATGTCTGATTGCCGCGATTTGCTCCTTGTTTTGCGTATTACTGCTCTGCCTCATCAGTTGCTGACGTGGCTGTTTGTAGTAGATTGTCCCATGGTAGACTAGCAATTGTCCTCAGTACGAGTTCCCTACTGCTACACTCACACTCAACGCTATTTTGGTGATTCGCTTCGGATCGACACCTCAGATCGGATGATCTTCTGCAACAACTGCCCCTGTACACAAGAATAACATGGAAAGAGAAAAATGGCATTGTATTGTCGTATCAATAGAATCTATACACAGATCAAGTGTGCCCAGGATGGAAAGGCCTCAACCGTCAAAAATGCTGGACCATAAATGTAGGATGCTCGGAAGTCAAATCTCCGAGGGAAATGAAGCAGCGTGCATGTCGCCCGTCGGTCATAGTTCCGCATAATAGATGATAGTGGTAGGGGTAGGTGAGGGGGAAGAAAGGGTTACGGAAGGAGTTCTGTCATAGGAGCTAGCCCCGGTGATGTTATGATTTGCGAGACTTCCGTAAGATGCACAGCGTCGTCAACGCACGCTTAGGATGGCGCAAATGCTTTCCGAAAACCCCTATTTCATTGCGCTGGGGTTCGAAAGTTCGTATAATCGGCATGTTGGAGAGGGCTGCACGGATGTTACATCCAGCCTTCACTGACCCGGGTGTGGCGCAGAAGGTGGTCCGCTTTCAGACCCGTCTTGCTTGACACGCTTGGGATCTCTCTCGCTCGGAGGTGCAGATGGTGCCCCCTTGCGCTTCTCCTTATCCCGCTGATACTCAGCACGACGTTCTTTGTCCCTCTCGCGACGGAGAGCCTTAGACTCGAATTCATGCCAGTCACCTTCAATATTCTCCAATCTGAGATGCATTAGCGACAGCCAAACAGGGGTTATTAAGCATTTAAACTTACTCGACGGCTTGTTGAGCACTTGGTTCCTCTGAAACAAAGTATGGGTGTGACAGAATCTCCTCGGTACTTGGCCGTTTTGTAGGATCGTAGCGGAATATTTGCGAAACCAAATCCAGAGCAGCGGGTGATAGAACTTCCCGGTAGACCTCTTCGAATATCCTCTTGCGTCGCTCAGTCGGCCGCATCAGCTCGAACCAGGGCATCTCGACAATGTCTGGCCACTCTTGCCGAGTCGGCGTACCAAGGGAATTGTAAAGCTTCTCCAATTGACTGATTTCTCCGCCCTCGCCAGGAAAGACAGCCTTCTTCGTAAACATCTCCACGTATACGCACGCCGCACTCCAGACATCGACCGCCGGTCCATACCTGGTTTCACCCAACAAAAGTTCGGGTGGTCGATACCATATGGTGATGACACGATTGGTGTAATCTAGTTGGCGACTCTTAGAAAAGAAACGGGCCAATCCAAAGTCCGCAAATTTCAGTTGTCCTTTGTTGCTGATGAGGATGTTGGCGGCCTTGATGTCACGATGCATGACTCCACGGTGGTGCAGGTAGTTCAAGCCCTCAAACATCTGTTTAGCCAAGTCTTTCTTGTGAGCTGCCGTCAGCGTGAAGGTTGGATGATTGATCAAGCCAGTCAGATCGTGCGAGAGATATTCAAAGACCATGAAACACTCGTTTCTCTCAACCATTACTTCCAACAGGCTGACAACGTTGTTGTTGCGAAGATGTTGAAGTAGTTTGATCTCCCGCACAGCTGTGACGGGAAAGCCGTCCTTCTCGCCTTCCATTCGGATCTTTTTCAAAGCAACCTTTTTCTGTGTGTAGACATGAATTGCCTTGAAAACCTTTCCATATGTACCGGCACCAATGACAGACTCATTGCCAGGCTTTCGATAATAGACCGAGTCCGACTGGGCAAACTCTTCGGATAGGGTGGGACGTGGCTTGGGACGGGTCATGATCTTTGGCTGCTTTTTTGGTTCAGGAGAACGCTCGCGACGGCGCTCGGGACGGAAGTCTTGTCTTCGATCACCTCTCCTTCTTTCATTGCGATGTTCGAATCGTCGGTCGTCTCTTCTCATATCGCGTGGATCTCGAGCTTCACGAAAGCTGCGGGGTTCCCGGAATTCTCTGCGGTCCATCCTCCCTCGATCTCGGTCCCTGTCGCGCGGCCGATCACGGTCGCGGTCCCTATCTCTGTCACGATCACGACGGTCATAGCGTGTGTCAGGCTTAAACTTCGGTGGCGGCGGGCCACTCGATAACCTATTGCGGGGAGGTGGCTCAGCAGCGCGCGGCGGTGGCTCTCGTGCCAGCATTCTTTGAGCCAAGTCGGGAACCGGCTTGGGAGCTGGAGCCGGGGTAGTCTTTGCCTTGAAAGCGAAACTGATTTTGCCCCCTTTGTTAGGGGTAGCAGATGAATTAGATTGTTGCGTAGCATTAGTTGGAGGTGGGTTGCCTTGAGCATCACCTCCCGCAGTAGCCTTCGAACCGTCATCTTCTGTGTGGGTTTCTTTCCTTGATGGTGCAAACCGGTCACCATTATCGTCAACATGGGATCTTTCTTCGTTGGCCGGGGGCGGTGGTGGGCTGGCTGATGGTTGCCTATAGGGCTCGTGAGGGCTGGAAGGGCCTCGACCCCGGGAATCACCCCTCCAATGTGCTTTGTTAAAATTGCTTCGGCCATGTGGTGGTCCATTATTATGGCCCTGAGGCCCTGAGTTCATAAAGCGACGGTCGCTGCCATGTCCTTGATAGCCGCCACGGTACCCTGAATGTCCACCACGGTAAGATGGCCCCGAATATGACAAACTGTGACCATGTGGACCACTCGTAGTGTAGTTGTTCTGCCGGTACGGAGAGGTAGGGCTATATGTATTGTCCGAAGTTAGTCTGATGCTGCGGAGAAGTGTCCTGAAATGACTCGACTTACACATGCTGACCCCGTCCCCCGCGCCCGCCCGAGTACGGAGAACCAGGCTGTGGCGATCCGTGGTAAGAATTCGTCGGGGTAGCGTTCTGCATCGTCGAGGAGTACTGAGAAGCATCGGCATATGGTCGAGATGTTCGCGGGCGCTGGAATGCATCGCGTGATGTCTCCCCGTTGGCCGAAACACTGGCATTATCTGCATCATGCCCCGGAGCTTCCCGAGACGGGGACAGAGACCTGAACGAGTCACCCGCTGCTGAGCGGGCGGGTCTGGCGGAGTTCATCGTCGGATCACCCAGAGAATTGCGGCGAGAAGCTATAGATAATCTCGAATCACCGGACTGCACAGAGTGACGCGAAGGTGATCGATAGCGGGGCTCGTTCTCGAGTTCGTCTTCCGGCAAAGGGCTATGAAAGCGACGCCGAGGGTATGCGTAAGATTTCCCACCACGTACGGGAGACCTAGAGCGCCTAGGTCGTGGGGATATTGGACGTCTACCCCCGGGTGGGCGCCTATCTCTCCCTCGTCGGGGGGATGGTCTCCGACCAGACCGACCCCGAGTTGCGAATCGTCCTCGCCTGTTGGATGGCAGACCTCGATCCAGGTCGTCACTGTGATTGGAAGGAGGATAGCGATGACTTGGCCGGGTGGGAGGCTGATCGAAGCCACTGGGAGAAGGGCTTCGCGTCCTTTTACGCTTGAAGGGAGGCGGAGCGGATGGTGAGTGGTCGCGCCGATGGTGGCCTCTATCGTTGGTGTTTTCAGCTTCGAGAGAACGACGCGATTCCAAGCCAGGATAATCAGCGGGTAAGGGTGAGCGATCACGGCCTAGTTTCCGACCAGGGTGAAATTCCGAATGTGGATGACCAGGGGAGCCACGGGCGGAAACGGTGCTAGGGGACAAATCACGGTGTTGGCGAGGTTCGTGGTGAGGTGGAGGAGGAAAGGGACGCGGTGGCGGCGACCGTAGAGGAAGCTCGTCGTCGGGTCTGCCCTCTTTGGGTCGGCGACGACGCTCACGGTCGCGAAATTTGTCCCTTCCCCTATCGCGGTACGAGCCTCGAGGCCGGTGCTTCTCCCGGTCTCTGGGGTCTCTAGTGTCGCTGGTGGCTCTCCACTGGTCTCTCAACACCGGACTCCTGCGGGACCCAGCCATGTATTCTCCTTCAGCTGCATCGGATTCCAACAGAAAAAGAAGGAAAAGCAGCAGGGATCAGAATGACCGGCCCACTGACGGATGAGGAGGTTCGCATGTAGATGTCAGCGTTAGGATAATCCGGTGGAGCCTATCCTCTCGTCTAGGCTGGTCGGGGCGTGTGTCGGCCGCGTTCACAGTTCTCTTTCTGTCGGGGGATTGGGTGGTGCGGAAGACCGGTTTTTCCGGGGGGTTTTGAGTTGACGGAGGGAGGATGGGAAAAAGGCGTCGCAAAGGCCGGCAGTTCTGGGCAGAAGCAGATCGTCAATGTCCGGGAACACCTTTCGAACCGGCTGCAGAATGTAAAGTGCAGGGGAAAATGGGTATTCTAGAAGGGAGAAGGGGGGGACAGACGCACCTCGCAGTCTTTCTTTTTGGTTGGTCCCGAGGGGGATTAATTTGCTTCCTGTGGCCGCTTTCGTTGGCCTTGGAGCACTAGATAATACGAAGAACCACCATGAGTTGCAAGGTGGTGATGGAACGGGAGTCTACTTTGATGGCGGGAGATTTTTAGTGAAGAGAGTCAGTCCAGCAGGTGACTCTGGGGCGGCCCAACACCGACGAGCCGCTGATCCAGTGTTCCTCCTTGTCCGATCCCTTCTTCCTCTTTCACTTCCGGGGTTGCCAGTAGTTTGGCTCTTACTACGGATGCTGGCGCAAGGCCGCGGTGCAGAGACGGCAAAACCAGGTGACGGCCGGTATTGCTGTCCGGTAGACCCCTTAGGACGCTTTGGCCTGAGGGTACAGAGAGACATGGAGGCATTCAGTTGTCGAAATCCCCCAGTCAAATATGAGCGTCGCTGAATAGCACATCCTCAGCCCAGTAGTATTCACTCCATGCCCCTGCCTCGATCATGGCCATTGTTTCCATGTCCGGGCCACGGGAGGGCTTCAAGTCTTCTCTTCCATCATTGTCCAGCTGCACCGAACTCTGCCTTTTCTCCTACCCCTTCTTGCATTTCTGCCAATGATGATCTGCCTTGGGTTCATGTTCGGGTTTTCGTCTTTCCTCCAATTTTTGTCGCGTAAAACATCACCATGTCTTCCCCCACCTTTTACAGGCTCATCACCTGCACATAGCGCTTTTGGTCGCTGGCTGGAAGAGGAAGCATATCCTTCCCACAACAGAACACACCTATCTACGGGGAGCAAATAAACCGCAAATTGACAAACATTGACAAAAATGATCAGAGCAAACACCTTGCCCAGGCGAGTTGTAGTAGCAGCACCGACGCAGATGGATGATTCCGCAGTGTTCAGTTGCGGCTCATCAGATTAGTTTCTTGCCATCACTGGGTGTGGTGTAACAAGTTGAGCTATCGTAGGCGCCCAAAAATGCCCAAGCGCCGTTCATTGCTTAACGTATTCAAGGCCCGCATGCTTCCTGACAATGATCAAGGAACAAGGAGCAGAAGGGGTCGATGTTGAAAGACAGCGGTGTAAGTCTTCGAGATACCGAAGACATAGGGTAGTCGAGCCTTGTGAATGGGGAAAATATCAGGTATCATAGAGGACAATGTCATCCGTCTAATTACTCAAGTGTTCGACGGTCGGCGACCTGACTTTGGCACACCACGTCGAAACCATGTTTGAATCCTGGGTAAGAACCGAAGGTAGGCTCTAGCTATATCACAAGCCACGCCACAGATACAGGTAGTTGTACTCACACTCATCCAATTTCTGGAGAGCATACGGTTAATGTTTGCCATGTACGTACCTGCCGTTGATGTTTGGGGTGAAGTCATTGAGCCTCGAAGAACTCCGGGGAAATCCGGCATGTAAGCCTACCCAGCAAACACATGGCCTGCCAACCATACTGGTTGTGAGAGCAGAAAGAGATTATTTTCCAACCATCCTGAAGTAAATCGGCCATCAAAAGCCACTTGCGAAAGCGATGTTTATCAAGGGTACCGTAGAGGATCGAGACGTGGCTGTTCATGACGTGTATGTAGGCGGTGGAGATGCGGGCTTTAGGTGAGGCACTCCCAGTCCAACTCAACCGAACACATCGTAAACGTACGTGGCTAGGACCAACCCTAGCGGGCTGAATAACGTGCAAAGAGGCCCTGAAGTCATCTTTATTGCTCCAGGGGCCTCCAACCAGAGCTTATTCGCAACGATTTATCAGAGGACAGGGGCTGGTCGGTACATGGACTCTTGTTGACTTTGGTGACAGGTCAAGGGTGGCCGTAAGCTTGAAGCAACGGAGGGAATGCCGCCCGCGGTCACGTGGTTCGGCGCCGGATTAGCCTGGTCTCCGGGACTCGATAGTATAGCCACCAAGATTATGGACTATTCCCAAATTTGTTGTTGACTTGCTTTAGAAAGAACGCTTAGAGCTTATGACTTACTACTCTTCGCAGTTGGCTAGCGGGGATATAGCTAATATAATTTGCAGTATGATTGTCTATTGTCTTCTAGTATAGAGCTTTGCTGATTGGAAGTTGAACTAAATCTTTCCTGTTGCACTGCAATAGATCCTACTCTAAATCCTGCCCAGAGGCTATTTCAAATATTGTATTTTCATTACCATTGACTGGGCTACTATTCTCTGGTTTAATTACCCTGCTAAGCGAGAAATACTCTGCTTGTTTACTAGCACTTTGATAGCATGTAACCTATCTTGCCAGTACTTAGTTCTAAAAAAGACTTAGTATACAATCTAGAGGAAGAGACTGGAAAGACTGCTAGCAGACATCAACACTCTAATCTCATGTTCTGGTAGTTTTTGAACCGTTTCTTTTGTAATACATATCTTTTACTAGCAGGGACTATAGAATATACTTGTTTCTTTTCTTCGAATTTCTAATTTCTTTACTGACTCCTAGACTAGTCCCCAACCCCTACTAGTATTGAGCAATTATAAGTTCACAAAGAAAAAAGCCAAGGATCTGGTGCTGCCCAATACCTCCCAGTTTTACTTACAAAACATCCAGAAATATATGCCGATGCAAAGAGATTTCGAGCTCTACTGCCAATGCTCCCCTCCAACCCGCTTACCGAGTATGCTATCCAACAGCTGCTCGGGAGGATTTGCAGATGAGAAGTCCTATACGGTGCTAATCCCATTTGAGTGTGCACGCCATTTTAGCAGATCTTCAGTTCAGACCTATCATCAATCATCTGGTTGATCGATCCGATTCCCTCTTTTCTTGTGATATAAATAGCCCGTATTCCCTCATACTCCTCACGAGCACCCCTTTGTCTTGCACAGACAATTCTCCATATGATTACCACCACCACCCTTACCACTCAAACCGCATCATGATTCTCAGCGGACTTGAAGTCGTCACCCGCCAACTGGTGCGGAATCTCCGCGGTGCCACCCAACAACAACCCTGCGGCATTGATCTCACCCTTCGTCAGATCTCCAAATGGACCTCCGCAGCGACTATTGACTTCGATAATACGAAGCGCCAGGCAGCCAGAACCTCTATCTTGCCGTTTGATAACACAAGTCACGCCATTACACTGCCACCAGGCGCTTATTTGGTCGACTTCAACGAAACCGTTTACATTCCACGGGACTGCATGGGCAGCATTTTCGCGCGGTCATCCCTCTGGCGCTCTGGGGTGGGGATTACGGCGGGTGTTGTCGACGCCGGGTATGAAGGTGCTCTCGGTGCCCTGATGGAGGTCAAGAATCCCCACGGCGTCGTTCTGTATCGAGACGCCAAGCTCGCGCAGATTGTCTTTGAGGAGCTGAGCGAAGAGGTGGAAGGATATAACGGTATCTACCAGGCTTCCACGTGCAGTGTTGGGCGTGATGGAACGGGTCAGACTTCAAACACTCAAGCAGGGGATACTATACTTAAAAGGTGAGGCAGGCATTGGAAACTCGACGACATCGTTAGCTAGACCGGCCACTCAGGTTTGGCATGGAGTTTTCTTCTCCCGTACCAACAATTTTGAACTTGACCAGCGATTACCAAGTGGATTACCTCTACAATGCGTCGCCACTGGCATAGTTGGCCCCATTGCTATTCTCCAGCTTGGTGTGCCACTGATACCAATAGGTTGCTTTTGGAGGAGATCATAACGTATCTGAACTAGGCATATCTAGAGAAGACACGAAAAAGAATATTAGCTCAAATGACTCTAAGAATGAATATGGAGGGAAAGGTATTCTTGCTTCAGTATAAAAGAAGAATTTTTTTATTACCGTAGATTTGAACATGGTGAAGTTTCAGCATATAATTGGACTAGATGAGGTTCACTAATGAAGTCTGTATCTGCAAGAGTATATCGAATCTACAGAGTAGCTAGAGAAGATATGATATGGCACTATGTTAGAGAAATTGCAAAACTAACCAAAAAGAGGAATAGTAGAGATAGTAGCCGAAGTACTGAACTTGATTTAAGTTTGTAGGGTATACAAACAGGAGAACAGCTAGTTAGAATGATATGATGTTGTTGACATCCACTGGAGCCTGGCATCACCTGATCCATCGCCACCTCTGCCCATGTGGTCCCTGCTCACTACCACCATCACACCGTATCTTGACCATAGACACAGACAAGGACTTATTCCTGATCTACCTCTTGAGACATAATGGCAATACTAACGGCTTCTTATCAACCTTTTCTGTTTCTTAGTACTCGGACTCTACAACTAAGGTGCCGATAGTACTCAGTCTTGAAGAGAACTGATCAACGCCGTATTCGATACTGTGAATCTCTCAATGAGTATTCATCCTCATGTAAGTATTCGTGACAAATGCTCTCTGACCCACTGCTAACCTTCTTACTGGCGAAATACACAGCAAGTCTGGACACTGATGAAACTATACTCTTCTTTCACGGGATTTGCAGCTTGTCTAATATCAATGGCCTGACATCGCCCCTCTGTGATCTCCAGAACTCAACAATTGATATCCTAGATATGGCCTTTCCCTATAACAGCAATTTCTGTCGCTTTTTTCGGCACGTCAATGTGGATCAGACAAGCCTCCCCTCCCTTT